CATTTTTTGTTTAAAAGTTATCTTTCAGAATACAATTCATCATCAATTTCCCAGGATTACAATACTGAGTCTTTGAATTAATCAGAGCAGTTCTTTTGCCTGGAAGAAGAGGCTAAGTCTGGAGGTAAAGTTACCACCTCAACAGTGAGGAGTGAAAAGAAAACAGCTGCATTTGGCAATGCACCAGATCATGTTCCAGTTAGGTTTTTGAGTACTTTACAGAAGCCATTCAGTCTTCAATTAATTCAGCATTCAGGAAGACACCTGTCAACCTTCAAGCACTTTTACAGAAGTCTGTATGGCAGCTAGAGAACATGATAGAAATACTTACCAGTCTTAGTTCTGTAGAACACTGTGTGTTTAGTGAGAACAAATAAAGTTTCTTGCAACAGCAGTGTCAATTTTCTTTACCAAGAGTTCAGATCCAACTCCAGGTGAATCACAGGGCAAAAATGTTTTCCTCCATCAGCCTTCCCAGTGACAATTTTTCTCTTTGGAAGGGTATTCTACAAGTACTGATTAATTTGAAGAACACCAATACACTTAGGATTAAGCAACTTGGGTCAGACTAGATGCTGATAATCTAGTATAGAAACCTTAGGAGTAATGAATTTGTCTGAACAGTATTTTTTAACTACTAGATATAAATAAAATTGTTTACTGACCTACCTAGGTTTGTTGAAACAAAGGAATTTGTAACTGCCCCTTTAGGTATGTTATCTAAAAACATCAATTTTGATCAATTTGGGAAATGAAACAAACAAATACATCAAGACTAGTTCTAGATTATTTCTGTCTGATGGAGTAAAATACAGTAAAAATTATTATTGATATCACACTTAACTAGGTAATCACTAGGTACAGTCTTGTGCAATGATATTCAGGCAATTTTCTAGCCCTTTACTCTGGATGCATTATTACAAATGCCATTCAGAGGGACAAAGAATATGTTGAAAAAGGAGTATTTCTGAGTTGATGTGGGCTTGACAAATTCCCAGTACCCTGAACTAATACAACCATGTTTATCTTTTTGTCTGCTAAAAATGTATCTCTGTCAAACCTGAAGATCATCTCTTCTGTTAATGGATGACATACCCAGCAGTGAATAGGGCTTTATGATCCTCTCATAGTTTGTACAGCAGAAAATCTGTTAGCAGTGTTTCCTGAGTAGCACTGTTCATTTATGTATCATTCAGTTCCTGTGAAGCATGTCAGAGAGACAGACAAGGAATGTGAAAGAAGCCTCGGTAGTGGCATGGTGTTGTGAGATTTGTCCTATGCAGCTTTAATTTCCCCTCTGTATTTGACCTGAAACCTGTAACACTCACCAGCTTCCCAGGTCTAATACAATAAATAGACACTAAGCTGTGAATAATGCACTGAACTGTTTGTAAAAATCAGGTTTTGGAATAAAAGCAGAAAAAAGATTGCTAGAAACAAAAGCAATTACAAGTTCGCTAGAAACTTAGGATATCCACACTGATTGTCTGTATTTCCAAGTTTTCAGAGGGTTTGCAGTTTTAATTGGAAAACTCATGACAAATATTTGCACTGTAGGAGCAGGTGTCCTCCTTAACTCCTGCCATTGATCACCAGGCAAAGGAAGGTTAGTGACAGACTGGGGTGGGTGTACATACCCTCTCAGGAGCTAAAAAGCCCAGAAAAGTGGCAAAAAGCCTGGAATAAAGCCTTGCACAATGCTAACATGCTCAGAAGCCTATCGTCTTGTATTTCAAACTTTAAATCTCTTCTGGAGTCAAAAATTTTGAAAATATCTTTTTAATTAAAGAAGTAAGATTTAGTCTTTCATTCTTTCCCATTTTTTCTTGTCCCTGTAAAATCACATATTTTTTGGTAAACTAATTTAACTAATGAAGAGACATAGGGAGTTTTATTAAAAACACAATAGGGCTGATATATATCACAATATTTCTTTGTTGTGATCTTATGCGTTTTTGTGTGGCTGAAGGAAGGAGTTTCTAAATAAAGGGTCAAATTCAGGTTCCTGTGAAATCAGGATATCATCCACACTTGTGACAATGGGACCAAAATTTTCATCAAGTCTGTTCATTCTACCAAGAGCAAGAACCCTCTTCATCTAAACTGTGTTTAAAACAAGAATTTTAATGCTCCACTGCCAGAAACTCTCCAGGAAATGTGGAGGTTTTGCTTGTACTTGCAGACACGTGGGGTTTCGACCTATGTTAAGGCTTGGATGACATTTATTGTCTGAGATGAAATCCTGAAACCTTCAGAGACATTAGGCTGCTTTGAAACTCTGCACTATTTTTTCTAATATTTTACATCTCTGGAGTTGATCCCAGTGAAATGCCAAAGGACCAGACGGACTCTCTTGGGACCAAAGCAGCACCTCTTACCGACAAGCCACTTTGCCCTGGCTAGAAGGCAGACCGGGGTGCGCAGGCTGATGCTGACAGACCTCCATTTGCCCTGCACGATTATGACACTTTTACTCGCAATTCTAAGCGCTGCTTTACCTGACCGTGAGGGAGTTCTCCGGGAGCACCGTTCCGGCCCGAGCAGCCCTTCCCGCTGCCGGCCCCGCTCCCCTGGGCGCAGCGCTGTCGGGGCGGAGCGGCCCCGCTCCCGCGGCGGGGCGAGCGGGCGGCGGCTGTCGGGGGAAGGAGGGGGCTGGCGTCAGGCGCTGGGCAGCCACTGGCACGGGAGCTCCCCCTCGCCTCGCCTCGCCTCCCGCGGCCGGGGGATAAAGGCACCTGGGCCGGCGCTCCGGGCCGCCGGGCGAAGCAGGGCGGACGTGCGGGGGTCGGGCCGGGCCGGGCCCCACCGCGCAGCCCCCTCCATGCGCCTCGCCGGGGGCGCCGGCTCCCCCCGGGCTTTGCCTTTGCCCGGGAATGGCAGCTGGTGGCGGGCGGCGGAGCCCGGCGGCGGCAGCAGCCCCAGTCCCGAGGCGTGGTCGGGGTCGCCGAACGGCAGCCTGGGCGGCTGGGACCCCTTCGGGCGGGACGAGGAGCTGGCGAAGCTGGAGATCGCGGTGCTGGCCGTCACCTTCGCGGTGGCGGTGGTGGGGAACGGCAGCGTGCTGCTGGCGCTGCGGCGCACGCCGCGCAAGGCGTCCCGCATGCACCTCTTCATCCGCCACCTCAGCCTGGCCGACCTGGTGGTGGCCTTCTTCCAGGTGCTGCCCCAGCTCTGCTGGGAGGTGACCCACCGCTTCCACGGCTCCGACGGGCTCTGCCGCGTCGTCAAGCACCTGCAGGTCTTCGGCATGTTCGCCTCGGCGTACATGCTGGTGGCCATGACGGCCGACCGCTACATCGCCGTCTGCCACCCGCTGAAGACGCTGCAGCAGCCCACCAAGCGCTCGTACGGGATGATCGCGGCGGCCTGGGCGCTCAGCCTGCTGCTCAGCACCCCGCAGTACTTCATCTTCTCCCTCAGCGAAGTGGAGCGCGGCTCGCAGGTCTACGACTGCTGGGCGCACTTCATCATGCCCTGGGGGCCCCGCGCCTACATCACTTGGATCACCGGCGGCATCTTCATCGCGCCTGTCCTCATCCTCATCATCTGCTACGGCTTCATCTGCTACCGCATCTGGCGCAACGTCCGGGGCAAGACGCGCCCGGGGGAGGCGGCAGCAGCGGGTAGCGGGCGGCGGGCAGGTGATGATGGTGGCCCGCGACGGGGGCTGCTGCTTGCCCCTTGTGTCAGCAACGTCAAAACCATCTCCCGCGCCAAGATCCGCACCGTCAAGATGACCTTCGTCATCGTCTCGGTGTACGTCGTTTGCTGGGCGCCCTTCTTCACCATCCAGATGTGGTCCGTCTGGGACCAGCGCTTCCCCTGGGTCGGTAGGTGACTCCGCCGCTCGTCCCCAGCGGCCGCCGGCACGCGTTGAGGGCGCAGCCGGCTGTCCCGGGGCGCTGCGCGGCGCTGAGCCGAGCGCGGGGGAACGGGGCGCGGCAGCGGAGAGCGGGAGCGCAGCGCGCCCCCCGGCCCCGCGCGGGTCCCGCTCCCGCCGGGGAGCAGCGGCTGAGCGCCCTTGTGGGGACAAGAGACGGCCCCGGGCAGCCGCCGCCCTCGGCCGCCCCGCCGCGGGGCGACCCGGGGGCCCCGGGAGCGGCGGCGGCCGCAGCGCTGGGCTCGGCGTGTCCCGGGAGCAGACGGAGGGGTGCTGGCGGCAGCTGCACCTCCGGAGAGGAGCAGCAGCCGCAGCCTTCTTATCCCGAGCAAAAGGAGCCGATGGAAACAGGAGTATTTGCTGCCGTAATTTGAACCGGCAATATTTTCGTCCGTTTGAAGCTGCCGATAAGCAAACTTTAGAAATGTTTAGTATTGTTGAGAAGCATGCACACACACGTCGGAGCAGTTACACGAAGAGAGAACTTATTACGTCTTCTTTTCTGTATCTGCTATCAAATGATAAGGTTGAGCACACCCTGAACCTTTCCTCTCAGCAAGGCAGTCACCTCTGAATGCTCCATTAGTCCAGTCACCGATTTTCATGAATCAGTGGCAGTTTAGACTTTGGAGATACCTGTCCTCCTGTTAAATATGGTTGAAAAAAAATGGTGAGTTTAAAAGCTATCACATAGGTAATGACAGGCAGCATAGAGCCATATATTCTGTTTCCTCATAATGAGAGAGCAGCAAATCAAAATGTTGGAATCCATAAATTCTTGATTTTTAAAAATATCCCCAAATTACCACTTATGTAGTGAGAGTGCTGATTGCCTCTAATACAGGACTAAAGTCAAGCCTATAATGCAGATCTCTATAGATAAATAAAGGCTTGCAGTAAACAGATTTTGTTTTTTTTACTTTCAAAGGGAATTAAATTGAACAGATGGGTATTTGATAGGTTTGTTTGAAGAGATTCTTTAAATACATGGAACTGCATAATGCAGTAATTATACTTTTTTGAAGATTCAATATTTACAAAGAAAAGTCACTAATAATTGATTAGACTAAATACACATTTAGAGTATTTGATCTATTAACTAGTTAGTGAAGGTAGAACACCATAGATTTTTCATGCCATACTGCTGAGTTCTGTTTTTCCCTTAAGTAAAATCTGTTCAACCTTTAAAATCCAGATTTAATGGACAATCCAGTAGTTAGCTGAGCATTCAATACTTTTCAGTATGCAAATATATACAGCAAAATTCAGTGTTATTGAAAGCAGTGGAAATTTTACTATTGTCTCCCAGGGTCTGGAAAAAAACTTTTCAGTAATTAAAGCAGGAGCTTATCAACACATGGATACACATCAGTGGAAATGTGACTAAATAATTATTTTGGATGGATTACCCCATAACTAATTCTGTCACAGCTTTTTGAAGTCAGTTCAGAGAAATCCCCATTGACTTCAATAGCAGCCTTACATAAATAAGACCTTTACTGATTATGTTCTCATTATCTGTTTAAAATGCTGCAGTTCAACATTAAGAACTTCAATATTCAGGGAAATATATCCAATGGTTAATGAAACAATTGACTAAACGGTGCAAATGGTTTTTTGATGATTAAACATCTTTCTTCCCCCCTCCCCAGATTCTGAAAACACTGCAACTACTGTTACGGCTCTGCTGGCCAGCCTGAACAGTTGCTGTAACCCGTGGATCTACATGTTCTTCAGTGGGCACCTCCTCCAAGACTGCCTACAGAGCTTCCCTTGCTGCCAAAAAATAAAGCAAACACTGAGTAAAGAAGATTCAAACAGCAATAGCAGGCGACAGACTTCTTTCACCAACAACAGAAGCCCAACCCACAGCCTAAACACATGGAGAGAGATGCCCCACTCCAAATCGACCAGCTTCATCCCCATCCCAACGTGAGACAGGCCTCGGGGCAGGCAGGGCTTGCAGTTCTGTCACAGTGTTTGGGAAGGTTGTGGCATGGCACTTTATGCCAATCCAGGGCACCATCGTGGTACCAAGGAATGACTAAGATGGCCATGAGGCAAAAAGTGCCCCTTTGCTTGATAAGCTGTGCTGCAGTATGGAAATTATTTTCTGAAAGTTTTTTAGGATTTGGGCAACTGATCAGCAAGGTGTGGCAAAAAATAAAGCAGTTATTTTTTTAAAATAGAATTTATTTTAATTTTTGTCTGTTCCTAAAATACTAAGTGCATTGTTGCTTGCTGTTTAAAACAGTCAAAACAATGGAGTTGTCATGTATTGGGCTAACTCCACTCTCTAGTGTTAATGCATAAAACTTCTCATGATTGTCTGATGAAGTCATGGGGAAAGAAGACAATATGAGCAAGATTACAGTTTAGTCTTAAACATTACGAGAAAAGGATTGGGAAAAAGTCTTGGCTGTCCAGATAAGGAATGGGGTTAGACAGACTCGCTGGAATTCAGTTGCTTGTGATGCTTCATCTTGTAAAGGTCTAGCAGTTCTCATACACTGAAATTTAACAGCCCTTGAGAATGCAAATCTTTTAGTGCTGTCAATGTCTGTATGTGTATTGTGTGATTTCATTTTTTGGGTACATATTTCCTCTTCCCTTGATGTTGATGAAAATTATACAGCATATTTGCGTGTGCATGTGTGTTGTTGCACCTACTTTCATTTTTTTAAACTAACTTTAAAAATATATTGATAAATAAGTATGATACACTACAACTAGCTCAGCACCGTTACAAATAGTTACACCAAGAAAATTCATAATGAATACCAGAACTGCTTGCTTTATTGGTAGGAATGCCACCTTTTCCTTTTTAATTCACAAGGACATCTAGGATCAAGCTATATTGCTAGGTTGTCAAGCAAATAGCCTCATGAGCTCAGAAGAGTGTAGTCATTTGGTAAGAGCTGTAGAACCAGTGCATTTCAAGACAGAGATCTGAGAATCAAACTTTAAAGTCTTCAGGGACCATATAAAAATTGGCAATGTTGTCGACTTGTCTTTTTCTATTATTATTTTTTATTGCCAGCTCATGAAAATATAGTCTTAAGAATTGCCAGTAAACTGCAATAAAAAGACATCACAACTCATTTGCCAATTACAAAGAATTCAAGGTGTGCTTGTTTTCAATACAATGCATGCTAAATTTATTGTAGTTCATTTATATGGTAAACAATCCTATTATATCTTCCCTTTGACCTTGCCTCTTATATTCAGGTGGGGTTTTGAAGCTCCTTGAGTAAGTTTTGCTGAGTTTTTAATTCTTGAGAATCTCTGAGAAGTACAGCTACTTATCTGCTCTGTTTTCCTAAGCTTGCTGGATCCTGAAATCCAGGTGCTCCCCTGGGCCCCTGCAGGACTGCCAACAGCTGGCTGCTGGAGCAGTGAGACACAAGCGTGGCTGCGTAATGTGCATGCAAGGAGGAAGCTCAGCATCAGGTTTCTTTCTTTCTTACCAAAACCTATCAAGCAAGACTGCTTTTCTAATTGCTTGAGGAGATTGCATGTGGCTTTCACTGAGGATGGTGCCCATACCTGCCTCAGTAATGGTAGCAGAAATTAATAGTTAGCTGCAGAATAAGATAATCTTAAACCACTCCAGAAGCTCCCCAGTGATTATTTTGGGCAAAGAATAGGGAATATTATACCTAAAAGAATTTTTTTTTGTCACTAAAGAAAATCTTAGCTCCATTCTCTTTCTGTGTGTTTGCTGTTGTTCAAAGCACTAGAACCCAGAGGACAGTGTGGTGGAATGGCTTATATTCAACAGGCTATCGTTTTTGCCACCTTTAATACACAAATGTGACTACAGCTCTCACAACTCTGGACAAAGGTTTGTGAACCTGAAGCTATATTTTAGTCAAAAAAAGCCGCATGCAGTGATGTTGTGTGTGTGTTTGTGCACATTATGTGTACTGTGTATATTTTGCAAGTAGGTAATTCACAGTTACTGAAACTGCAAGTGTTTCAAATTACGCTACCCGTTGCCTAGCTTTCTGCTTGTGCTACTACTTTCTTTGTACATGAAATCTGTATTAAAAACCAATTAGCTGTACTAACAGAATTTTCATGTTTGCATAATTGAATGGTTTTTCTATTACACTTTACATTCAAACAGAAAATATAATGAAAAAATATGTGTAGAATATTGTTGAAAATAAAAATGAACTGTATTGTGTATATGTATTAAACCAAACAGACCCAAAGTATAAATTTAGGTTTTTTCAAATACATTACAAAATCTAGGCTTACACTTGAAGCTTGTCAGCATAAATATTCCCCGTGAGTGTTCTATAGCTTCTGTAATTAAACTAAATTAATTAAATTAATATTAAATTAATATTGACAAAACAATTTGCCAATATTTGGTTTCCAGACTTTTTTTGTAAATACTGACTTTTCCACATCATTATAATGTTGGAAGATACAGGCAATATTTTTTAATTGTTCATCTGTGGATATATTTTTTTTAAAGCTACTTTGGGTTATCATGAGGGTGCCCTAATGGAAACAGAAGGAAACAAAAAATTGGGAAACCATTGCAAGTTTAAAACATGGAAACTTGCTCTAAAACCTGCATATTTGTTTGGTCAGAAGCATTTTGTAGTTTTTGCTTGTCTAGATTTTGGAAGACAAGAAAATTATTTGGTATTACTAAATATATTTTACAAAATTCAAAATGTCTTCATTTGATAAGTTATGTCCATGAAAAGCTTTAAGGAGTGAACAGAGATAAAATGTTTGTCTATTATACATACTGCATGAAGGACACAAGTAAAAAAGGAGCGTGCTTTCCACTATATGCTGGATTGTTAAAACTATATTGTTAAAACATGTAACTGAGCACTTATTCATGTTCTAGAGGAGATATTTTGATATTTTTGTTTTAAGTACTTAACCATCTAACATAAAACATGATTGAATGGATTAGCCTGTACTCTGTTGTTTGTACTGGTGTTCCTAGAATTCATAAATTTTCAATTCAATTAGATGACAAAAGTGAAGATGATACAGAAGATGGAAAGGTTTTTGTTCATTCATATAAGAAACAAAGTCACCAAAAAGCTTATTTTCATTAATTTCTTTTTAAGTTTTCAGGCAAACATATTGTTGGCTCAGGAAAAAAAAAAAATCAAACCAAAAATGGTTGGATTTTTTTCCCCTGTATTATCACATCAAGACCGAGACCTACAAGAAGACACAAATTCATGTGCACCCAGTACTTCAAAGACAAAGGTTTTGTCTGCACAAAATCTTAAAGCCAATTCCACATTGTCCAGATTGAAAGACCTTGTTGAAGTGCATGCATGCTCCTTTCCAACTCATGCATATGGAAAGCAGGGCAGAAGAGGGAAAAGCCCTGCAGAGCTGGGTGACTAGGCAGATACTGGTGACCCGGCTTTGGGAAGTGAACACAGGCCTTACAATAGAGCTACTGCTGAAATAAGTTACTTGTTGCATATTCTCTGAGGCTCAGTTCCCCACTGAAAAAATGGATTAATTAAACTGTCCTCACTAGAAAAGTATCTGCACAAGTTTCAGTCCTTTGTGTACATGGAAGACTGGGGGGAGGCAGAAAGGCACTAGCTGGAGCTGTAGTTACTCTTATAAGATAGTTTTCTGTGTTTTTCTTTAGTAAAGGGATTTACTGGGAAAAGTATCACTTGCTACTTGGGTAAAGGAATTACAGGGTAGGTAAATTGACATGTTTCAAGGTCCAGGATTAGATCACTACTGCTCCACGGGGAGCAGTCCTGACTGGTTCAGTGACAGTCCCTCACACAAGAGTAGGTAAGTCATGCAGAATGGATTGTGCAGCTATGCACAAAAGCAAGCAAACAGCAATCACAACTAGTTCCTGCTGAGCTTCATTAGAGCCAGCCAGCATGGGTCTGCCTCTCCCAGGACTGGTCCTGCAGAAAGTCCTGCATCCACTTCAGTGTTAATTAACACTGTATCACTATTTTGGTAGAACTGCTCAGTAATTTGCCATGCCTTAGTATAAACTTGCTTAGAGTAATAGTTTACATACAAATTAGCCTTAGTTCTCCATAAGGACATTTTCAGCTGAATTCTTGATACAGTCCATTGGGTTAATTAATATTTGAAAAGCAAGACTGTGAGGCATCATCAGGAGTGCAAAGCTCTTGCTTCAGCTCTATGGTGAGAAGACTAGCAAGCCTTTCTAGTTCTAGGTGGATCAAGATGTTGTTGGATATGGGTGAACTCTATTCCAACAATGGAAAAGTCTTTTGCACAATCCCAATATTTTTTCCATTTCCAACATTTGTTTTTCCAGGGGGTGGATGGAAGAGGAGGCTTTGGGATAGAACCCTTTCTCAGTGCTCTGCAAGCAAAAGACTCCCAAGTTATCCATCCTCAGTTCAGGGTAATGATGATTATCTTTCTCCATAAATTCTTACAGGATACATGGCTAAGAACTACTGTGTACAAGTTGACTATTCCTTTTCAAGAAAAGCATTGGCAATGCAGTCTGTTGGTGTCCAATCAGCTTTTACACCTTTGTGGCAAAATATGACAAAATTGTCATTGGCTCTCCAGGTTACAAAGCCCATTCTGGAAGATGTGGAACAGGTAACCAGGGACTGGCAGTGACTGCCTCAGCCTCCTCCACTGTTACTGCTGTGATTGCCCCTGCCACTGTCTCTCCTGACCCTTGTAATGATGGCAGCAAGAATGGGGACAGGGATCACAGGAGCATCAGCAGACAGGTTGGTCATTAAAGGACATTAATTTCAAAGTGCTTTTGGAGGGAGGAATGTGGATCTTATAAAATAAAAAACCCACAGTGAATACCGGGAGAGAGATGAACTGGTGACTCAGAGAGCAAATAAAACATCTGATCTCAAAGGTTATTTGAAAGTATCAAAATACTTTCCATTTTTCAATTTTTAGATATTTTTTATACATTTAGAAGAAGAGTCCCTCGTCTCCTGGAACTGTAGCTGCATGAAACTCCCTACAAATCTAAGTATCTCTGCTGAGATGGCTACAAGGCTATGTCCAAAAATAGGACAATGATCTCTCCAAGTTAAGCATTGGGGCCTTGGCTGCCCCATAACAAACATGTCCTGTGGGAAAAATGAGCAGAGTTTTCAGGGAGGAGAAAGGAAAAAGCCTAAATATCATTCTCCTTTTTGGGAAGAGGTGATAGTCAGGGTAGATACCATAATAGTTGCCTAAATCTTCAAACTAAAAGGCAATTATCTTCCTAGTATTTTAGTAAGCTCTTGGTTAAAGATTATGTGGAAGTGAGAAGAAATAGATGAAGACACAGAGGACTAGGAGGCATGTAACTTTGTAGTATTATTATCAAAAGGAGAAACTTGCTTAGGAATTGCTGAAATGCTTTTCTAAATAAGAGTAATAACTGCACAAAATAGTGTAGCAAACCCAAGTTAGGATAGCCAATGC